CCCCCCACCACAACAGGCACATCCCTGCTCTCCCCAGGGCAGCTAGTGAAGGGCAAATGAGCTATACTCTCCAAAGGTCTCGGTAGTAAAGCAGCCAGCAGGTAATATACCAAGAGACTAAGCGTTGTAGTTTGCTTTTCTAATAAAAAAGGATTTTATAAGGTATTAGGAATTGGATATTTCACATACTTTGTTCAGAGAAAGTTCAACAAAAAGAAAACACAGAAAGGACTGAAGGAAGATCTGAGTTTTGAAAAGACCTCAACAGGAATGAAAAAAATAATCCTTTAACTCTGTATCCCCCTTTCTTCTACCTAAGCTTCTTAGAACTTCATCCGAATCCCTAACTAAGATGTATTTCTAACAAAAGCTGTGGGTTCAGCGGGCTGCTTTTTGTTTAGGCTGTCTCCCCCTAATGATTCCGTTCTGCCAACCTCGCTCATACGTCCGCTGCTGTGAGGGAAGAAATGCGCATGAAGCCATGGTTGTCAGCGAAATAGCAGGTGACAGAACTTTGTTCTTGTCATGCCCCCATCAAACATTAAACACCTTCCCCTTCACTCCCTGATCTCCTCAAGTGCTGCATGTGGCTGAGATTAAAGCCATTTCCCGGGATTAATGCGCTCCGCACACAGCGGTGCACAAAGGACTTACCCAAAGAACAATTAAAGCGCCCGGCCGTTATCCCCCACATTCACAATTTTTCCAAAACAAACCAGTTGAAAGCAAGTAAGAACAAGGAGGACCACTCAGTCACATTTCTGGGTGAGCAGAGGAACACCAGCTGGTACGTAGCAATCAGGAACTGTAATGATTGTGGTTGCCTACTTGCAGGGGCGCAGATAAAGGAAAAGGTAGAAATGCAGCTGTTAAAAAAAAAATCAAATATTCTGGGTAGAGGGACTGATACATTAGTTAGGAAAGATCAGGAATTTGAAAACAAATCCAAAAGTTTCTGCTTACTCTAGTGATCACTGTGAAATAGGAGGCTGGAATAGGGAAGTGGAGACTCCTTGTTTTCATAGCTAACCTTGACGTGTCATCTTTATTCATCGAGCAGTTTTATTAGTAAATGCCCCACTGTTTAAGATTACAAGCACTGCAGTGCACCTTTTATAAACACATTACGCCTGGGGACAGCAGCAGCTTTGCTAGCTCCTGCAACAAGGAATTTCACATGCAAGACAGACAGCAATACCGTGTTTATTTGGGCCCAACAGGAAACGTACCCTGGTAAATATTAGCCAAGACCTAGTTGGGTTACCTTCAGCGATTTAAACGGAAAGGACTGGAAGTGCTGTATTGTATAACTCGCTTTACGTAATCTCCTCTAGACAGTCTGCGCATATACTTGCGGCATGCTTACCCAGGAGGGAGTTTTTCTCCTGGTGAAGCAAATCAAAACACTTCAGTTGTGTGTGGGAGCAAGCAAGATTGGTTGAAGGGAGAATTCCTTTGTCATCCTGCCTGAAGAAGGGTGTAATTCTTCTGCCTCTTTGATCTACTTGGGGGTAGCTTAAGCAGGGCTTGTAAAACAGCCTCTGAAGAGGGCATGTAAGATTGAAAGGGGCAGAAAAAGAACAGTAAGGTTGGAGATCTATTTCCAAGGTTCCAGTCCGCTGACCGTGCCGATTAGCTTGCTCTCATCTCCTCTGTGATTGTCATCTGTTGAATTGCATGGCCAGATCCTTGCTCAAATTCCCAAAGATTTCCAATGAAGGCTGAATCAGACCTACCAGAGCTGTGGTGGCAATTTATCACTACCCCTGGCACAAGAAGATGGGGAAATTAGAAACCAGAATTTTTCTTCAATCTCTTCCCCTCACATCTCTTCACCAGGATGAGAAGCAAGTCTGCTGTGGCTCACCTCTGCCAAAGGTACGCATGTGCAGCTTGTGATGCACAAGGGGTGGCACCCCAGCATTTTGCACACCGTTTATTCTGGTTGTGACAGTCAACGTTCACATTGCTGGGGGAAAGGACAAGATGAATGCCAGTGACAGCTGAAGCCACATGTTTTTGCACAAGAAATAGGGGTGTTAAACTGGAAGACTTCTTGGAATGGTGTGTTGCACAGGAATATTTTTTTTTCCTCAAACTATGCATTAACATGAACATATTAAAAGTGCGTCAGGAAAATAAAACTTGAGGATTGTTTAGAAAGTGACCTCATTCCCCCCTTCCTGGGATAGGTGCTTAAAGTTTAACCTGTCAGCTACATTCACAACCAATAAATTCAACAGCAGAAGTTTAAAACAGTGAAAAGCTACATTACAACAAAAGTGACCTTCAGTTTTTTCATCCTAATTTTAATGAGCAGAGGAGAAAGGTGATTTCAGCCTAAGTGCAGAAAGGAGCCATCTGTATGAGACATCAAAACAAATTCATTCTCAGGGCTGTTGATACAAACGAGGACATCAAAATATAGAATTTACTGCTGGCTTTACAAAATGCAATTAATTTGTACTTAGATGCCATCATTGATGGTTTAATATTTTCCCTTTGCTACTGATTATCATATCTATAGTTTTTCTCTGCCCCCCCGTAGCCATGTCTAGTGGAAGGATTTCTGGTTTAGCCAACAAACATCTGGCAGCTTCTGTAAGCTAACCTAGATGCCTACAGAGTAAGTGAAAAAGACTTCGCCAAAGAGCCATTCGTTCCCTCATAAAACAATGGTGGTGACAAGATAAGGGGACCCTCAGGGGGTGTGTGCTTCAAGGGTGATCAACTCTGAAATCCGTTATTCCTTCTAAGAACATTCCTAAGTTCTGGGTCAAAATCGGCCCCCAGATCTGTCCATGAACATAGCAGGCTATCTCTAACCCTACAGTGATTCAACCTCTCCCCACGCCTGCCTGTCTAACTCCAAGATTGGGAATTTTCCACATGTAGGTTGATCCAAATTCCAGTCTGAACACATCCGTAGAATTTTCTTCATTAATGACTTGTATTCCCTGGGTTTCTTGTTAACACGGCCAGTCATAAAGGACAAAATTAACAGGGATGCAGAGCTACACTTTCCTTTAAGAATGGATTTCAGATCCTGATTCTTTAGTCTTAGCATTACCTTTGCAGTGAGTAAACATCCAATTCTCCTGCTGCTGAAATTTAATCTGTTCTTTCATTCTCACCTAAAAGTCCTATTTGAGATGCTTTTGAGATTCCAGAGTTTGAAATCCACACCCTAAAATAAATGCTAAAATAACTGCATGCCTGGCTTCATTATGCCTTCTGCATCTACTCTCACTTCTTCCCAAATTCGCTATCCACATCGCGTCCAGGGTTTCCTAATGCCAACGTACACACACGCGTTTGCATAGCCAGGCCCTGCTTTATCTTCTAAGAGGCAGAAAGACCTCCTCAAAATTCAACCACTCCCCACCAGTTTTCCCGCAATGATGTTACGTATGTTAAGTATGTCCACAATGAAGTTACCTGCTTCTCTGTGCCTCCACTTATTCAACTAAGCAGAGGACAATATTAACAGTTGACTGATTTGAAGTTCACTGAGCAAGCCAAAATGATTATTTTTTGCTGGAATGCTCCTTAGGCAAGAATCTGTTCCCTTCCTCATATACTTACTGGAACTTTTCCCCACTGGCTGAGGGAAAGTATGCAAATTAGATAACTTTTTTCCTAAACAAGCTCCTTGAGACTTCATCAGAATTTACTTCTTGCTCGCAGGTAGAAATGAAACCTGCGTTACCCCTAATGTTTATTATTTCTTACTCTCCAGAACACTATCAGCAGAGGGAATGTTCAACTACCTCCGGAAACGCTTTACCAGCCACATCAGAGAACGCAGCCGGCGAAGGGCAAGGCTTGTCTCTAAAGATGGAAGGTGTAACATAGAGTTTGGCAATGTAGAACAGTCAAGGTTTGTCTTTTTGATTGATATATGGACAACTATCCTAGATCTCAGATGGAGATACAAAATGACTATCTTCATTTCAGCATTCTTAGGCAGCTGGTTTCTATTTGGTCTCCTCTGGTACGTTGTGGCATACATACACAAAGACCTTCCAGAATTCAATCCTTCCATAAATCACACCCCCTGTGTTGAGAATATCAACGGCCTGACTTCAGCTTTCCTGTTCTCCTTGGAGACCCAGGTAACCATCGGTTATGGCTTCAGGTGTGTCACGGAACAATGTGCCACTGCTATTTTCCTGCTCATCTTCCAGTCTATCTTGGGGGTAATCATCAATTCTTTTATGTGTGGTGCCATCTTGGCCAAGATATCGAGGTCCAAAAACCGGGCTAAGACCATCACCTTCAGCAAGAACGCTGTCATCAGCAAGCGTGGTGGGAAGCTCTGCCTCCTTATTCGGGTGGCAAACCTCAGGAAGAGTCTGCTGATTGGGAGTCACATCTACGGAAAGCTTCTGAAGACTACCATCACCCCAGAAGGAGAGACAATCATTTTGGACCAGGTCAACATAGAATTTGTAGTTGATGCTGGCAATGAGAATCTCTTCTTCATTTCCCCACTAACTATTTATCATATCATAGATAAGAACAGCCCATTCTTCCACATGGCAGCAGAAACCATTCTGCAGCAAGATTTCGAACTGGTGGTGTTTTTAGATGGCACTGTTGAAGCCACTAGCGCTACCTGTCAAGTGAGGACATCCTACATCCCAGAAGAAGTGCTCTGGGGTTATCGTTTTGCTCCCATTGTGTCCAAGACCAAAGAAGGGAAATACAGAGTAGACTTCCAGAACTTCAGCAAAACAGTGGCTGTGGAGACTCCCCACTGTGCCTTCTGTCTCTACAACGAGAAAGAAGCTAAAGCCAAAGAGAAGAAAGGTTATGACAATCCTGGTTTTGTCTTGTCAGAAGTTAGCGAAACCAGTGACACAAAAATGTAGCTCCAGAGATTTGTGGGACTATCTTTTTTCATAATGAGTTCAATCTTGAGAGGATTAATAACTTAGTAAAACAAAAAAGAAACACAGGTTTGTTTTTACCCTAAACCAGCATTTATCTTCTCAAAAGCCTCAAATCAAAGAGGAACAGAATACCAGTGATCTCCAGAATGCTATTTAACTACACTATATATATATATGTCATAGAATTTATATTTTTATACCTATGGGACATTTTATGAAGCTGCTATGTTGGAATGGCCAACTCACTTAAGTTCCCAGAGGCATACAAGTCTGTTTAAAAGCCTAAAAAGATGGGGGAGGAAACTTTAGGACCTGTTAAAGATACACAGCTGTTGGAATGAGAACATGAAAAGGGGAGACAGAAGGCAAAGCTAACGGAACCTAAGGGACTTAGGAGCCAAAACCTCAAAAAAATGTATGTTTCTGGTTGCCAAAGTCCTCTGTGAAAGCAGACTCTCTGGCTCTGGAACACTCGAGCACTTTTGAACATTTAGAAACAATTCCTTCTTTCTTTGAGGCTGGTACATGTACAGAAATGGAGCATTAAGGGATGGTACATGCTTGGAAACTAGAGAAGACAAAGCTTGGGCCATCCTGATGCATCTAGAACTCTGTAAAATACAACTTCTCTCCTGCGAGAGCCTTTGATTCCTTTTGGGGAAAAACAGCCAACTGGAAATGAAAAGTGAAAAAACAAGGAGAAGCAGAGACCCACTATGGGAGATGAGGATTTTGCCACTTATTCCTGTCTCACCCTTCAGATACGCTTCCCCGGGAGCTGGCTAACTGTGAAATTAGGAAACATCTGAAGACAACTGTCCAGAAAGAATGTAAGGAGATGAAGAACGCATTGATTACTTCACACCCAGCAGAAAAACAATCCACTGGGGGAAGAGAGGAAATTCTCAGCTCTAGATGTATCCTTCAAAAAAATCCACCATGCAAACACAGTTTCTTTTTTCCTTTGAAGCACGAACGTCTTGTTAAAACAAAAACACAGCATAGGAGCTTCCCACCAACAGTTGGCTTCAGATTTAGTTCCAAACCGTTCATCTCGCCACAGCAAAATGTGCATCCCTACAGGAAACAGGTTCTGCTCAGTGGTAGCTAAGCAGTGGTGAACATTTTCCGGGTATGATTTTTGACATTTAAGTTTTAAATTCAACAAGAAGCGTCAATAACTTTTGGTGAATTTCCACTTCCTCACAGCCTTTTTTTTTTCCCCCCAACTAGTTCTTTTGCTGAGAGTTCAAGCAGCAGACCAAGGAGGGGTTTTTTTGGGAACTCTTCCCAGTGATGTAATTCAGCTCATCTATTTTCAACACTGTGGTAAAATGGAAGCATCTTTTCAAAAGCCGCTGGACTGAGCAGTTTTAAAAGAAGGGGAGAACGAAGCAGGTCAGATGATGACAAGACAGTTATTTTGCAAAGGAACATAATGTGAGTATGGAAATCAAACTCTGGGAACCAAGAGTGTTCAGGTCTCGGTCCCAGTGTAGCATCAACTCCTCTGTTGGTTCAGAATAAATCACTTTAGTATGTATCTCAGATTTGCCATCTGTAACACGGGACATGAAGTACTTCAGCTGTACAAAGAACAATATTATGAACAATTATGTCACTAAAGCACTTTAAAAGCCAATTCTCAACTGTCTCAATCTTTCTTCTTTTCAACACACCGTTACACCCTTCTTCACTTCTAGATGGAAAGGTCAGCACAAAGTTCTGTTCTCATCACACATCAGAATTACTAAAAACAGCTGCACTATGGCTAGAACTACAGAACGCTACAACCACCAGACGAAACCTTCAAGTTCTTTCACAGATATTGCACAATATTTTAAGTGTACTGGTTTTGCAACCTTGCAAAATAACGTTGCCAACTGTAAAAATATTTTTACGGTCCCAGTCACTACAGCATCAGAGCCCCTCTCAAGATCCCCAGGCTTGGCTGAACCAAAAGGCTAGTGTGCTGCTCGGTCCTTCCATAGCTGCTGCCACATTTCCTTTATAGGCTTCCTGTACAGTTGCCCTGTGTGTAAGTTCCCTAGAAAGCAGTGCTGTCAGTATTCAAGGCTTACAAGTTATACCTCATACTCCTGGGAGAAGAGATGCACCAAGATGCCCTTGATAGAAAGGCAGTTTTCACTGTACAAAAAAAGCAAGTCAATAGGAAATTCATGTGAAAGGCCAAGCCCAGCTACGCAATGAGGAGACAGGAAAGATTCTCATTTTCTTTAAGTAAAGCTGTTTTGAGATGTTAGTGCTGGGGGGGGCGGGGAATAATCAAATACTACCCCAGCGCCTGTCCAGGAGGTGGTGTACATCCTCCAAAGTTTAAAGGTTCCCTAAACAATGCACTTCCAGGCACTGCGCTTGGAAGCCAACTCAAAATCCTAAACCTCTAAGATCTTCATGATGGAGCTTTTTAACCTTTTGCCTTATGTCTGTACAGCAGAAGTGTGAGGCGGCGTTATTCCCTGTCTAGAAGTTTTAAGTGCTACCACAGCTCAGAGGATGCTTGATCTCACTGCAAGGGTGATTACCGGTTGTCCACTCTATTCTGACAGCTATACCTGCCTCAAAAGCTAGCTCTGCTGCCTACAGTGAGGGAAGGGCGCCTGTATTCTTTTGCATGCTTCGGTATTAGAGGGGGGACTGGCTACTGCACAGAGAAGGTACAACGGGGACATACCCAAAGGTGACGGGGCCATGGTTGAGCTATCAAGCTTCCTCAGAGGGGGCTCATACTGGGACCCTAAGTGGGAATCTGGGAATGAAACCCTCCTGCCATGAGCCTCCTGCTGATTGTCACTTCAGGAAGCGCCTGCCAGTCCCCGCCTGCCAGCGGTGGCCCAGGCAGGAGATAGAGCGCTGTAGTCAGAGCCCAGCAGCAGGAGAACAATGAGTGGAATTTCCTCTTTCTGTCCAGAGAGGGCTGTTTGTCACCAGAGAGATAAAAGCCCAGGGCAGGGAAAAAGGGTTATCAGGAGACATGCCGCGCACAGTGCCACTCAGGACAGGCTCCATAGGAAATCTATTTTGGGGGCTGTCACCCCTACTGCCATTAAAAGAAAGTTCAGTTAAGAGGATGAAAATAAATTTAATCTTGCTGAGCAGAAGTGGCTGGGGGGAACCACAACCCGATACTGGAAAACAAAGACTGGTTTCTCTACCCGTGACACTTTCATTTTTACATCTCCACAGCACTCTTCTCAAGCCTTACGGTTCTCTTCTCCCTCCCTGCCTGCCCAGTCCGCAGGCTGCCCATTCTGCTGCAGCAACAGCGAGTCCTTTCCACAAGGTGGAACGTGCTATGGAGGCCAACAGCCTAAGTCAATACAAAGCAAAGGACTGAAGAGAAAGCCCTGTCTCTTCAGGAGAAGAAATCAGACCACGTACTTAGTGCTGGATTAAGGCCTAAAGGATTTAGCTGTGAAAGTGTTAGCCAAGCAGCTAGGCTTGGGAATAATGTGTCTGCACTAAACTTAATTTATCTTCTCATTCCACAAACAACATGTTTCTTCTACTGTATTTATTTTAAACATTCATTCAAGCTGTGCATAATATTTCAATCATTTTGAAATAGATTTACCCTCCCGCTGGCAAACGAATAAGGCATCCTGCTGACTGCTGGAGAAAGGGCCATGAATTAAAATAACTGCTTTTAGTAAACTGACATGTGCTAGTTAGCTGCCTCCACACACTCTTTTGTAGTAACTGGTGAAGAGAGACCCCTAAATAATAATAAAAAAACCAAACCCTGGCAAACTATTTAGATACTCATACTGACTTGCATCGTTGGAATGCGGCAGCCCACTGCTAACGAAGCTCACAGCGACTGCCTGGATAACTCCTGCATCTACACGCTTCCTTGTAAACTCAACTACTCACCCATAAACAAGTCAGCAGCGTGCAAAGCCCCGACACGAGCGAGAGCAGCTGAGGTGTCATATCCTCTTTCCTCTCCCCGGGCAGCAAGCTGATGTGGTTAGACTCACGCAAATTCAGCTGGGAAGAGCCTTTATTCGTCCTTCCCTTTTATTTTGCCCCTTTCAATTCACCCCCGCCTTGAACTGTCATGGTGCTGGCCCAATTCCTGTTCCCCACACAAGCAGGGAGAAACCACAGCACAACGCAAGGAATGTGAGCAGAGCCCCTGGCGCAGCAGGGACGGGGGAAGCTGAGTGAGTTCCTAAACCCCCTGGTGAATCTGTGCCTACACAGCTTCTTGCTGCAGCCTGGGCAACCTCCATCACTGGCCCTAAATCACATCTAACCCTGTGACGATGCCACTAGAACAAGAGCAAGGAAGGCTAGAGCCCTCTCTCCAGGGCTGCTAGAATACACAATGTGTTTCCCGAGGCCAAGCTGACATTCCTGTGGTGGAAGCATCTGCCTGGGGAAGCTGACGACTTGAACAAACTCACTGCTGCACAAGACAGACAAATTCTCCCTGCTTCAGGGAGCTGGACAAGCAAGGGGAGGCTGGAAATGAGATGATCTCACTTCACATCTCAATTTGCACGTTGCCAGCCAGATTTAATTGCGGAAAGCATTGAAGCCCTTGCTCTCCCGGGTGACAGCATCCCAAGCAAGCTCTGCAGAGGCAAAGCCACCGCATTATTCTGTTGTGCTCACCCACCAGCGGGGCAGGCTGGGGTGCCAGAGAGCAGGCAGGGGTGCTGTCGGAGGGATCCCCTAGGTGTCTTCTGCCTGGCTGCCGCTGGAGGGCACCCCTTACCTCCAGATGAGCCGCACAGCTCCGGGCTCCAGGCAGGCAGCAAGCCCAACCTTGCGTTGGCAGGGCAGCAAGCTTCAGTGCGAACTATGGCAGTCTTGAAAGCGCAACGCAAGAGTTTATTGGGACCGTTCCTTATTTTATTACACAAAGTTTAATGCATTTAGTGACTTAGTTTTGGCACGAGCTCTGCTAGCTGGATATATTTAGCCACTTCACAGAAGTGTTGGGAGACTTAACTGGCTGCAATGAATTCAGAGGAGTTGTGTAAGTGGAGGGCTGGGGGCTGTAAACATCACGTCTGCAGTGGCATCGAAAGCACCCTTAAGAGAGCCTGCAGGAGGTGGGGTGGGTTAGTAACAGCGAGGTTGGGTCTGGGGGGACCTATATTCCATAGGCAACTCTGTTCTGTAACTTCAAGCAAGTCACCGCTCCCTGCTTTGAGCCTCAGTTTCCCCAGCTGTTGAAGAAAGCAGCAATGCAGGCCACCTTGGGGAAGCTTGGAGTTCTAGCTCTATGTTAGTTTTGCAACAGTGCCCAAAAGCTCCAGTTCAGCTGGAGCCCCCCTCTGATTTGGGAGGGTTCCTGGTACATTACAGAGCCTACAGAAACTCACGCAAAGGATTCACTGCCACTGGAGCAGTGTTTGTAAAACCATTATGTCACTTGACAGTATCTAGAAGTCCAAATTACAGCCCCTTGTCCTCCTGTGCCAGGAGCTCTGCAAACACCACCAAGGGATCATTAGAGCCCATTAATCCCCACAGGGCTGCTCCTCCAAAACGCTAAGAGGGCAGACCCCCAGCCCAGAGCCTTGCGAGGTTTCCACACGTGCCCAACCCCAGGCAGCCCCAGCCCTGCCGGCACCACAACTGCCCTTACCCAGTGTCTCCAGCACACATGCACCGCTGCAAGCACCTGAGACCTGGCACACCACCACAAACTCACTGCACCCCATGCTGTCCACCGGCCACCAGGCTGCGGAATGTGTCAGAGACACTTGGAAAACAGACCTTGCACTCCCCAAGGGCTGGGGATGCTGTTCATGCCCACGTGTGACGTACCAGCAGCAGCCAGCACAGGCCTGTAGCAGAGGAGACTCCGTTGGCTTGTGCATACGGCTTTACAGCAGCAGGGAAGGTAAAGTAGATCCAGCATCAGACTTTACAGCTCCAGGAGACAGAAAGTTAATGAAAAGCCAAAGCAAATAACAAGTTTGCAGCAGTTCCTGGAAAGGAAGAAGCAAGCTCTTGTGTTGAAATAGCTGTGCATCAAACCGCCAGAAGCCCTGGATCATTCCTCCTCCTTCAACAACTACAACTTAAAATAAGAAATACAGATCTTCGCCTTTTTCTGCCTGCTCCTAGATAAGAAGCAGTTAGGTCACCTCCTCTAAGAAAACTTCTACTGCCTCAAAAAGCCTTCCTGCTTGTTTGCTGTGGCTATTTATACCGGCTGAAGTGGCTGCTCAGGTGCAAGCACCCCTGCCCATCACTGACACACCTGCTCGCACTTGTGCCCCGTTGGGCGCAGCTCATTCCCCACCGCGGAGGTGCAGAGTTGACGGGGGATATTGCTGGGGTGGCCTCAGAGCTGCTTTTCTTTCTTGTCTTTCTTTTTGTGGGTTTAGTATCGGGGTCTGTTTGCTACCCTAAGAGCCCAAAGAGCTGAATTTTGCCAAGGAACTCTAACTCTCTTCCAACATGATAGAAGAAACTGAGCTTGACGTGCAGGGATTTCTACCTCTGTAGATGAAAAAATCCTAACACGCAAGCTAAACTGTGTTATGTGTCATGCTTCGCATGACCTTAGTCGGAGGTTTCTTAATCCTTTTCTAATATGATAGAAAAGTCTGAGCTTTATTTGCAATGAGTTCTGCTTTTACAGATGAAAATCATAATACATATGTTATGCTAGGTATTGTGCAAAAGTATACAAATAGGGTCTTTGAAGTGAATTTATAAACCCCAGCCCCCGACGTGCCTCTAGACTACAGCTCTAATTAACACCAAATGCAGCAACACTCAGTCTGATGTGAGAGAACCTACTGTGTTAGGAAGCGGGCTGAAGTCTAACAAACTAATTTCACAGAGGTCATTAAAAATACTGTATCAGCAGAGCAAAGCAGCCTGTAAAAAAATCTATTATTGTAATAGTATAATAAAGTGAAGCTGGCTCCTTTAACCCAGAATTTACAGATCTTCTGACGAAACAGCAGCTGGGTTCATCTGTGCTTTTAATACAAAGCTTCAGGCACAGTCATGTACTGTCATTGTGAACAGTGAGAGTGCACATGATGCGTTATCGGGTAAGTCCAGCTTCACATCAAATATTTGCACCAACAGGAGTTACGGCAAATTTCCCACATTGTTAACATCTCGTTAGGACTGGGATATGCTTGTTGGGTGGTAGTATGAGAAATACTTCCTTTTTACTAACGGGAAGGTCTTAGTGTGGGGAAACCCCTCTCCTTTGCAGTTGAATTAGGTGCACGTTATAAATCCCCAGTTGTTTGGAACTCCGTCCTCGGGGTTGCAATACAATTCCTAGGTGTATAAAAGCAGCAAGCCCCTCGTGTGTACAGAAGATGGGTATCCTCCTGGCATACGAGGATTACAGATAGGAGTAATCTCAGATATTTGACACTAGAAGGATGCGGCGTCTCCTAACTTAGAGCATCTAACAAGTCTTTAGGCTGGGATCCTCTAGACTCTAAGCCATGATTTAGTGGGGATACAAAGCCTTCTTCAAAATACAGTTTTGAAAGCAGGTTCTAAATTTGATGCCTGTAATTAAGCAGTAAGGCTACCTTCTTGTCCCCCCTTTCTCTGATATGCAGGCACTGGGGCAGGTACAGCTCAAACAGAAACAGTCACAAGGATCCCAGCTAAAGGAGCCGGAGCTCAGAGACTGTAAAGCCATCACCAATTTACTTCTTAGAGTCTACTTATAGAAGGTGAAATGTAAAGCTAATTCTAGTTTGGCATATTTAAGCTAGATCACGTTCAGTGTTTGAACTTGGGGAGTAGAACAGAAATACTGGGTGAATACTAGATCACTAGAAATTAATAGCTATATTACCACTGATTTCAACAGGAGGGGGGTTTCCTGGTGAGGTTTGAATTCTGAACTTCGATGCAGAGAAGATTTTCTGCTACCCCTGTCGACTCACAGCTCACAACCATGTGATCCCAACCATCTGTTTGGTGAACTTTCTGATTTAAGCCTGAAATACTTGAATTCCATCTGCCTTGTCCTCCTGGGAGAAGTAAAAAGTAGCATTAGTACTGTCAAATTCTTTGTTTACTTTCTCTCAGTGTGTCCCAGAAACTTGGGTTGGGATGGGAGATCCCCCTGCTATCACCCCTAGAGCTTCCAACGTGGCAAAGTCAGGCTTATATCAGGGGGTACAAATGGGCTACTCCAATCTGTATGTTATTTCTTGTTCTTTACCTGAGGAATGTAAACTAGGAAGATCTTACAAAAACGCTAAAAGGTGCCTGGGAAGTGCCCCACCAGCCTGAGGCTGTCTGGCACACTGCTGTGAGATCTCTTTACTCCAAGATCTTTTGATTCCATGGGAATGCAGCCTGCAGTGGGCGGCTAAATATGAGCAAAGATTAGCAAAGATTAATATCAGCAAGTACCCTGAAGAGAAGGATGGAAAGAGGCTGAAAGGACCTCAGCTGTGGATGCTGCTGACCACCTTCCATCTCAATCTGGGCTCCTTTGAGATGTTGCAAGTTGGGCAACCAGGAACAGATGCTTCTCAAATGGTTGGTTGTTTTCAAAAGCCTTTTTTCACCAAGGATCCTGCTGGCAAAATTTTGCTATCGAAGACATCTTTGCGCTCTGATAACCTTCAGATTCTCCCTTTAGAGGTTTTTGTGCGATTTCAGTCTTCAGATTTTCCTATTACTGGTAACTGGGCGGGCACACTGTATGAAAAGAAAATACTTGATATCTCTATTGATGATGCATAGCCAGAATGAATCTGGATTGCACTAAAGTGAAAAACAATGGAGATAAGCAAAAAACCACTCACTCTTGTGACTAAATTGAGCAACTATGGTTGAATACACAAAGGGAACAGCTCTCTGGTGGTTGAACACACTAGCATCGCTCATTTTCAGAGCCCAGGTTTGGTAATCAAGCCGGTGAAAGCTATTGTACTAGCAACGTAGCAACAAAAGGTTGCGTGTGGAGGAAGGAAATGGTGTGCTTGTGCAGTTATGTGTTTCTAAGGGTTTATCAAATCGGCAGAAAGATCAAGCTATCTCTCAGGACCACCGTGTGTCTGCAAAAATACAGGAAGTGCCTTTGCCTGACCTTTATACACAATCAGAAGATTCCTTGGCAGTGCTTGTTTTTGCAGCCTCTTACTCCATCTCAGGAATGCTTTGGAGCACTGGCTTTCCCTGGGGTTTGGGGATAGGTGAGAAACATGAGCAGGCAGGCAGGCTGGTAATACATACAGCATTGCACATATACGTTCTGTCAGTGACTTCTCGAGTCCCCTCCAGAGCAAACAGACGGAGATGTCTATTAGGTCAGTTATGGCTCTCACGGGGAGGCTGCGTGTCCTGGCACCCGGCACGGTGCTGTGACCCCATCACTGGGGCACCAGGCAAGGGTCTGCTCCAAGCGCTGCCACCGTCCTCGTGCGAGACACTTCACCTCCTCGAGCTTTGGCTACCTACCACTTTCTCTCTCTCTCTCTCTCTCTCTCCATGGACAAAAGATGGAGCCCAGGTTTCTGATTTAGACACTTCAGTAACTAAATTAGGTCTGATAAACACTGGCTCCAGAGACACGAATGTTCTGGAATAAGAGGTCGGTATTGTTTCGTAGTGATAAGGATTATGATTGCCACTACTATGGAGCTGCTTTGTTTTCCTTTTTAGGTAAATTTAATTTAGAGGCAAAGTTCATGCTTTATCTTCAGCTATGAGAGGGGAGGGAGAGAGTGGGACAATATGATGCCTTAGAGAAGAAAACCACCATTTATTTTGTCACATTTTTTTACATCATCTTCTTCATACAAGTTCCATTGTAACACTTAATACATTTTTTAAAAAACAACCAAGATTACTTGCAAAATTATATATATTTTAATATCCAAAAAGTACATTGCATATATATAGTAGCAAAAGCCCCACTTCCATGGGTAATTTCTTCATACTTAAATTTTGCGATTATTGCAGTAATGTTACTTATAAACATCCTGAAAGCACTAAGACCTAAACTGATTAGCTTGATCTTATTTTGCCGTTTTGTTAAATAATGGCATCAGTGCTTCTGTTTAAAGTTATGAGTAGACTATAATGTTCTGGTTTCAGGCTCTCATCCTGCAATCGGATGCACATGGACCAAATCTTGCACCCACACAGAGTCCCAGAGGTTATGTCTAGACTAGATATTTGTGATCCTGTTAATTGGTTGCCAGTTAATACAAGTTAGCTAATAGGTTGTACATGTAAGTCTCGCTCCCCCTATAGACATCTGTTCTAAAACACAAATGCTTGTGGTTTACCCTTCTGTTTACGGCACCAAACCGCCATTTGTGGATCATCAAATGAACATGTGCAAAGTTCGAGATGGCTGAGAATTTTGGAATGTTTAAAATTTAAATGAAACCCCCTAGCGAAAGTTTTCGAAAAGATGTTTTGAGAAGCATTTGATAATTTTCTCCATGAAGTGGTTAAGATCTTTCCAAAGTTCAAGATCTTGGTGAAAAATAAACACAAAATATTTAAATAGATGCTTTAAAATGCTGGTGCATGTTTTCAATCAGCTTCAAGGCAAATGTTAGCTAAGTGGAGTTAATTTGCCGACAACTATGACGGGGTAATACAAGAAAAAACTCTACTCTAGACAAACCCAGGGAAATCTGGAAGGTTTCTGGCTACTTTGGGGGTCAATCATGGATCCAATTGCAGGAGCAAGTCTATCTCCAACAGATACATTACTCATGTCTTATTTTTTAATTTTTTTAGCAAAAAGTACAAAGCTACAGCCCAAATGTACAGATTGAAAAGATGTACAAATTACATTAAAAAAACAAAAACAACCCACAAACAACTGAGCTGATAGTAAAAAACAAACCTGCATTTGTGACCGAGGTCAACTCGTTTTATTTAATCTTTCTTTTAAAACTGTGAGATATAGGGAAAAATAACTCTGCATAATTTATACAGTAATTTGCCTTCTGATTTGTTGACCACTTT